CTGGGTAGGGTCCCGCATTCCGCTTTTCTATCTTGATGGTCCCAGGGACCTCCGCTCCTAGACTGAAAAGTTAATCACTCCTTTCCTTGCTACAAAAGTCTACCTTTACATTTCCAACTCTCACACAAACATGTGTTTTTCTAGAAAAAAACAAAGAGTGGGCATGGAGTCGCCACCGTCATATTTAAGACGTATAGGAAAGCAACAAAGAACAGATTGATTCAGGTGCAAGAGGAAGTAAGGATCCTTACACCAGGGTCTAGAACAATTTATAAATCAAGAGACTAGCCTTACAGAAAAGAAGTTTCTTATTTCTCCCACTGGATTAGGAATTTGTATGAGAGGAGTGGTTGCTTCTCCATAGTGACTGGAAACACCTAGAGGTGGGTAATATCATCAAACTCTTCAAAGTCAGGAAGCAAAGTACCCGAGGTAAAAACCTACCTTCTTCTACCACCCATTGAATATTCCCTTTGCCCTCAGCAAGCACATCAGCTGGTTGTGGTTCTTTTCCTGGTGGGGTGACCCAAACCTTCAGTTCTGAAGGGTCTGGACCGTTAATTGTCATGTTAGTATTTGGTTGCTGTAGCTTACCATTGACTTTTATCACACGGCATGACAACACCGAGAAACATCCTGAGGACTTTCCTGGATTCTGGGTGTATTTTTCTTGACCTCTCTTATGTAATATCAATCTGATTTCCCCTTGGCAATCAGGATCAATCACACCACCAAATCCAGTAAATCTCATTTTGCCTGGAGGTCAGAGGTCTCAGAAGCCTAACTTGGGCAGGGGCCATTTTTAACTTCCATTTCAATGGGATGACTGTTGTGTCTTCAGGTGGGAGTATTCCCCCATTTGGAAGTAAGAGCTCTACACCAGAAGAGCATACAGTCACAGGGACAGGAAGCAAAAATTTTGCAAATGACCTACCAGGAGTAGCAGTGATTGGTGCCACTCCCGTTCCCATCCCTCCATTCCTGGACAAGGGGAAGGAAAGACCTACCAGGGTCAAGAACCATTTACAAATCAGGAGACTAGCCTTACAGATAGGAAGATTCTTTTTTCTCCCACTGGGTCAGGAATCTGTTCAGGAGAAGGCGTGGTTGCTTGTCCATGTTGTTGTTGTTGTTATTGTTATGTGCTGTTGAGTCGGTTCCGACCCATAGAGACCCTGTATATGGTTTCCAAGGAGCAGCTGGTGAGCTTGAACCACTGATCTTGCAGTTCAAATGACTTTGCAGTCTGGCGCATTAACCCACAGCGTCACACCAGGACTCCTGCTTGTCCATGTTGTTATTGTTGTTAAGAGCCATCAAGTTGGTTCTGACCCATAGCGACCCTCTAGAGGGTTTCCAAGGAGCAACTGGTGAGCTTGAACCACCAACCTGGCAGTTCAAACCAACTGTGCAGTCTAGCACATTAACCCACAGCGCCACACCAGGACTTCCCTGCTTGTCCATAGTGACTAGAAATGCCCCAAGGTAGATGATATAGTTCCTATTTTCAGAAAACTCTTCAAGAGAGGAACCAAAGTACCTGAAGTTAAGAAACAACCCTTGCTTCCTCTGCATATGGAGTCCCTGTGTAGTGTAAAGGGTTAATACACTTATAAGCTAACCAAAATGTTCGTTGTTCAAATCCACCCAGAAATGTCTCAGAAGAAAGGCTTGGTGATCACTTCCAAATTTCAATCATTGAAAACCCTATATTGGGGAGACATTTTTAATTCTGACATACATGGGGTTATCACAAGCCAGAATCTACTTTATAGCAACTGGTGTTTCCTTTTTATGTGCTTCCCAAGGTTTGAACTCTGCAGACAAGACATGTCTCAAGCTATGGCTTCAGAACCAGCTTATTAACCATATGTGTGATGTGCAGAGGCCTCACCCGGTGTCTCCATTTCCTGGTGAAACTTCCAAGAATTCCTGTGCCCATTGGACTTTCGTGTGCCTACCCTTTAGCACTCAGTGAATTGCCTTACAAGCATACCTTTAATTATGTCCAAGGTTCAGGACAACTTGCCCCACTTTATAAGTAGCAAATCTTTATCACATTATCCATTTGTTCTCAAGAGATAGTAAGGTAGGATTGCCTATCTGAGCTTACTCTTTAAAATATCCTCTGCATTCTAACTCTTACTCTTCTTTATTAATTTATCTTTCTCTCTCTCTTGTTGACCTTCCAGGCCCCCACTCCTTCATCTAATTGGTAGACTCTTTAACCACCTTCACCTCTATTTCCTTCCCCCTTACTAGAACCAGTGTGCACTAAGGAGCTCCCTGCTGTTCAGAGAAACCTACAGGCAGACCTGCTATAGACTGGAAGCAGCCCTCCCGCTCCATCATGGCCAGTTCACAGGATCTCATTAGGTTGCAGGAGGAAATGATCTGCCCCATCTGCTCAGATATTCTGCAAGACCCTGTCACCATCGACTGCGGTCACAATTTCTGCCATGGATGCATCATTAAGAATGTAGGACCATCAGACGGTTTGCTCATATGTCCCCTCTGCAAGAAATCTGTGAGGAAGGACATGCTGATGCCCAACTGGCTGTTGATGAATCTGGTGGAAAAAATCCAAACTATAAGACCTTTTGAGAAGCAACCAGAAAGACAAGAACTGAGGTGTCTAAAGCACCAAGAGAAGCTCCATTACTTCTGTGAAAATGATGGGAAGCTTCTCTGTATGGTGTGTTATCAATCCAAGGAACACAAATTACACAAAATCAACTTGGTAGAAGAAGCTGCCCCAAAGTATCAGGTAAGCACTCAGAGTCTATTGTCTGTCTCTCTCACCTGATCAGAAGTTCAATGAGCACAGGGTAATGGTTACCTTATTTTTCTGGGTTTGCACCACTTGGCACCCACCCCTTACCTTAAATGGCTAGTTCAGAGTCAGGCAGGGTGGACGCTCTGGGAGTCTCATTCTTTCTAGCATATCATTTGGTTCAAATGTCTGAAAACTTGAAATCAAGGCATAATAGAGAATGGAAAAGCATAGAATTTTGAATTATAAGGTTTGTGAACAAATCCAAGTGGCTGAGTTTTCTATAAGACGTTCAAGGAGTCACTTGGTCTCTGTGAGACTCAGTTGTCTCACCTTTCAAATGGGGCAAATAGAACAGAATAGAACTTACCTCTCTAAGGTGGTCTGATAGGACAAATGAGGGAAACCCTTAATCAACCACAAAGCTGCGTTCAAATATTAATCATACTTATTCACAGATGGCACATTCTTTTCTTGTAGATCACTGATACCCTATAGTCTATCCCCGTTCCTACTAGCCCCCAGCTTCTCCTCTCTCCTGCCACAATCTCACCTGCCCTCATGGAAAATCAGGAGCTTTGTGAGGCCAACACAACTCCCAGGCACAGCTTACCAATATAGTCCTCTCCCAACAGGTACTAATTCAATCTCAGCTTGAGACCTTGCAGCAAAAGGAGAAGGCACTAGTACAAATGAAAGCAAAAGGTGAACAGAGGATCAGTGACTTCAAGGTAAGAAAATGCTCAGGTGGCGACGTCTCTCTGTCCCATAGCCTTTTGTAGCAGAAATAGCTTCCCTCCCATGTCCCTAAGATATCTTATTATACTGAAGGCTCAGAAGAAGACCCAGTGTCAGATAAGGTGGTTCAGAGTGGGACAGAGTGAAGGAGGGGCAGATGGAGGGACAGAAAGACTCGTAGCATTGTAGGTTAGGATGTGTTCATGCCTTCTCCTCCACCATAGCATTTGGCTTATCTGTCATAGCACCTTGGGTTACTGGAGTGGGTTGACCACTCTAGTCTCTTCTACCTGGAGATACTGGTGTAGGAAAAATAGAATCTGGTTTTAGCATCAGAAATGCTGATTTTAAGACCACTTCTGCCTCTCACAGGCTATTCCTTAACCAGAGACTGACACTACAGTTAGAAAATAATGACAATGTAATTCTGCACAACTTGTTTACTTATTGTATGTGTTTGTGTAGTGAAAAGAGATTATATACTGAGAAGTCTTATGAAAATGTGAGTTTGAGAGACTCGAGTTCTTGAAGGAGGAAGAAAAGGATTAAACACAAATAATTTAGCCTACAACTAAGCTTATAATAAATGCTAAAAATCACTTATCTCTCTTCCACTTTCCTTTTCCAAATCTGCCACAAATCATTGTTCTGTGTTGGCAATGAATATAAGTATTAATTTCATAATATTGAAAAATTAGATAGCATGGCCATCTTTTCATGTTCTGAGTGTCCACTCTCCTTTTCCCCAGGCTCAGGTGGAGAATGAAAAGCAAAGGATCATCAGAGAAGTCAAGCTTTTGCAGCAGGTCCTACAGGAGGAGGAGGCGGCTCTCCTGTCCCAAATGAACTGGCTTGGTCAAGAGGGAGCCAAGGGGGGCAACCACTACATCACTTCCACTGAGGCTCAGCTGAATTCTCTCGGTAGATGTGTTGAATCCCTGAGGGCCAAGCAGCAAATGTCTCCCAGTGATCTGCTCTTGGTGAGTGTCCCTTGAGGGCAGAGTTAGAGACTAACCCATTCTTAGTCACACATCAGAGCATGGCCACAAGGAGAACACCTGAGAGCACCCCAATCATCCTGCCTCCTGCCTAGCCGTGATCAATAGAAATATGACGCCAGCCACACATGTAACTTATAAGCATATTGCAAGCCACATGTCTAATTAAATATTTTTTGTAGAAGCCACATTCAAAAGCAAAGAGAAAAAGAAATAGATAAAATTAACTTGAATAAGGTATTTTACCTAAGCCACTGTGTAAAAAGTAACCAATGTTTAAAAGGATAAATGAGATATTGTACATTGCTTTTCTGTAATACCAAATCTTTGAAATATATTTATCTTACCCCTATGCACAACAATAAACTCTTTAAACACTAAAGAGTCCTGGTGTGACTCTTCATGATAAACACTGGACTACTTACCTCAAGGTTAGTTGTTCAAACCCACCATCCACTCCATGAAAAGCACTGCTATGGGTTGGAGCCAACTCGATGTTACTGAACAACAAGAAGTTTTCAATGGATGAAGTACAATGTAATCCTACCAATTTGGTAAACTTGTGTTTAATGGAAACAGTATTTTAACTCCATCAGCATTTAAATTTAAATTTTGGAAAATTCTGTAAAATTAGAAGTCCATTTTCTCATCACACTAGCCACATTTTAAATGTCAACCACAGGTGGCCTGGCTGCCATAATGGACAATATGAGCATAGCAGATGCTCAGAATAATCTGAGAGCTCACCTGAATTTACCTTCCATTCCCACCAGCTCAAGAAGCCATTGCTTTCTTTTAAGAAAGATCATGCAAAGTCATTCCTCAACACCAAGCAGGGATCCCCTGTTTTAGCCTTAGAGACAAAATTTGTCTTCGGAATCTCACTCCTCTTCCCCTCCCCTCATTTGAGTTCCCCTTGAAGTCTAGCCATTACCCTGTCTATAGGCATATCTTGGAGGAGCCCAACATGGTGGGTAAGAAGAGAGGGATTGGCTTGTCTCATGCCAATCAGACTTTTGACTCTTTCATGCCACCAATTGGCCTAGAGCTGAGGCTGTACCTTTTCTCTTTCTCTTCTAGGATATCAAAGATGTCTTGAACAGGTATGATGGGCCGTCCCAAGTGCATTTTTCTTATCGATTCATACATGTAATGCTCAACATAATATTTATAATAGTAAAAGTTTTATACCACTCCTCCCTCATGAAAACTTGTACCTCTGTGAAACTTTGGAGTCAAATATGACTTCAAGGAAAGGCTTAAGCTGAGCATATTAGCAAGTGGGTTGGTTGTGGAAGAGCTGCTTTGTCTGCAGTTTCCTGGGTTTCAACATTGTTGTTGTTGTTGTTAAATGTTATTGAGTTGGTTCTGACTCATAACGACCCGGTATAGGGTTTCCAAGGATCAGCTGATAAGCTTGAACCGCTGACCTGTGGTTCAAATTGACTTTGTGATTTAGTGCATTAACCCACTGTGCCACACTAGGACTCTGGTTTTCAACAGAGATTCTCCTATTTTCTGGCACTGCCTTTACGACCCTTTGTTCAAATGAATGGCTCCTTGATCCATTACTCTGCTGCCCTGACCCCTCCATCTCCTTATACTCTGCTTCTTCCTTGGCCACAGCATTGCCCTAACTCCTCACTCCCAGCTCCCTATCCCCTGACATCTCCCCCAACCCACAGGATCCCATCCTCACATCCCCATCTCCTCCTCATGATCCCCTTCTGCCCAACACCGTCCTCCCTGATCTCAACACACAACTCAGCTCTGTCTTCTCAGGAGTCAAGAATTTCAATTTCTCAACCCAAACCCTATTCCTCTGGATCTGGAGAAAATACTCAATGATGCTGTATCAAGACATAACTCCATCACAGATGCCCTGAAGAGATGCAGAGGTAAGGAAGAGGCTCATAGCTCCTCTATCACTCGTATTTCGGGAGTTCTACCCCCATTAGTGGAGTCCTGGTGTGGCGTTGTGGGTTATTGTGCCAGACTGCAAAGCCATTTGAACTGCAAGGTCGGCGGTCCAAGCTCACCAGCTGCTCCTTGGAAATCCTATACAGGGTTGCTATGGGTTGGAATTGACTCCACTCGATGGCATTTACCAACAACCAACAACTCCCATTAGTTAAGGTTACAAATCGAGCAGCTAAGCTCACAGTTAGCAGTTTGAAACTACTAGCTGTTCCGCAGGAGGAAGATGAGGCTTTCTGCTCCCGTAAAGATTTACAACCTCGGAAACTGTGTACAGGGTCGCTATGAGTTGGAACCGACTCCACGGGACATAAAAACAGCAACAATTCCCATTAGTTACCCCAGGAAAGCTGAACTCTAACTTGTAATAATCATTCTTAAAATCCAGTTACTGTGGAGTCAGCCATGACTCATACAGACTCCATGTATGTTGACATAGAACTGTGCTCCATATGGTTTTCAGAGGCTGGTTTTCTGAAGTAGATCACCAGACCTTTCTTCCAAGGTACCTCTGGGTGAACTCAAAACTCCAGTCTTTTGGTTAGCAGCTAAGCATGTTAACTGTTTGCAGTACCCAGGAGGTCCAAATAGTTACCATTCCATCGCGGTTAAATGGGTTCCACAGCTTTACTGGGATTTGGAAGTTGAATCCTTGATTATGAGGATTAGAAGTTTCCACATCCACCCGCTACAATGGCTTGGGTAGTTATGATTTCAGTTTCCACTAAAACACTTAGGAATAAGGTCCTCATTCTGTCTCCTGGTTTATTATATAATCTTAAGCCTTCATATCTATCAGTTTCTGTGGAATTGGTGATGATTCATGGCAACCCCATGTGTGTCAGGGTACAACTGGGCGCCATAAGATCTTCAAGGCTGTGACTTTTTCAGAAACATCAACACATTTCAAATGTCACCTTGCTTCCTTTCAGGCATTGATCCTAACCTTATTGTACTTGTCAGCCTCTCCGATTCCTGTGAGAACCAAGGAGAGGGCCTGAACTGATGTCCCATGGCTTCCCCCTTGCCCAGCACAGTGTATGTGTGTGTGTGTGTGTGGGGGGGGTAGTTGGGCTCTGCTGTATGGTTGTACAGTGGACAAAGGGAAGGCAGGGCCCAGCCTTCTCCCTCTGGTTGGACTTTTGCTTCCCTGGCACACACTGGAGCCCTGTCCCTTCCTGACAACAAAGAGAAAGTAGATTCAAAATCAGTGAAAATTGGGAGATATTCCTCCTCCCAGAACCACAGGGAGATAACAATCAGACAGCACAGAAGTGGATGACTTGCTTGGGCTCTCGCTTTTGGTCAGATATTTCTCTAGAACCTGTCTGGGTTTGCAACTAAGAAAAGTTTGAAGATGTTAGGAATTCTGTACTAGTTTCCTAGAGCTGCTGCCACAGAAATACAAGTGTGTGGCTTCAAAGAACCGAATGTATTTTTCCATCATTTTAGAGGCTGAAGGTCTGAATTCTGGGCACCTCTCCATCTCATTTTATTCTATCTCCACAGACAGTCTCCAGCCTGATCAGAAGAGAATTAAAAGCACATTTTTCATTGACTCAAGTGAGGACACCTCAAAGAACTGTAAGTGGGGTCTGAATCTGTCCCTGTCATTTGGAAAAACTAAGACAAGCAAAGAAGAAGAATTACATTCAGTGATTATATGCAGTCCAGATATAGGCAGACACCTATTACTCAGAGATTAAGAAAAAGAAGCACAGGATACAAATTTTATTATTTTATGAGGTTTATTATTATATGACTTTCTGGTTGGTTCAAATAGCTTACACACTCAACTATCCGCCAAAAGGTAGGTAATTCAGACCCACCTAGAGGTGCCACAGAAAACACGTCTGGCAATCTGCTTCTGAAAGATCACAACCTTCAAAATACTGTGGTGTTCAACTCTGCAAATAACAACCCAGAAAACAGTGTCTAATTCCAAAATTTTAAAGTATTCAAACATATTTGTCAAAAATAGTTTATATTTTTACTCATCAGAGAAATAGAAAAGTGAGCCAAGGATGAGGTGGATACAGCTGAGTCTCTGAAGGGTTACCTGCCCCAGGCCACATACCTGGTTTCTGTGGATACCCCTCTGAGTGTGAGGTCAGTGGGATGGAGACCCACTATATTTGTAGCCTGTGCCGAAGAACCCATTAGAGCCAGTTCTGCCACCTAAGACGGCCACACTAGCAGAACCAGTTTTTAATGACCCTTTATGTGATCAGCACCCCACATGCAATATTTCAAAACCACACAACTTCCCCAAGGTATGTGTCACTACATGCAATAGACAAGGGAGACCCCTCTAACTCTAGAATAAGTCATGTGAGGATTAAATGGTGGAAACACATAAACAAACCAGAATTAGAACTCATTTCACCAAAGCCACAAAGTACATAATGCATTCCAAAGCCAGAGAGCGTGGAGTGGTTCGATCTCACAGAGTTCTTCCATAAGAGGAGACATTGGTGGTTGGGGGGTAAGTCCTTGTTGTGTTCCATGACTGGTGTTCTGGTGATTTCTGAACACCCCAGCTCCTTGTTCTTGTTGTTAGGTGCCATCGAGTTGGTACCGACTCATAGCGACCTTATGCACAACAGAATGAAACACTGCCAAGTTCTGGGCCAACCGCACAATTGTTACTATGCTTGAGCCCATTTATACTGCCACTTTGCCAATCCATCTTGCTGAGGGTCTTCCTCATTTTCTCTTCTCCTCCACCTTACCAAACATGATATCCCTCTCCAGCAACTGTTCCCTCCTGATAATATGTTCAAAGTATGAGAGACACGAAGTTTGGCCATCCTGGCCTCCAAGGAACACTCTGGCCGCACTTCTTCCAACACAGATCTGTTTGTTCTTTTGGCAGCCCATGGCACTTTCAATATTCTCCTCCAATACCATAACTCAAAAGCATCAATTCTTCTATGGTCTTCCTTATTCACTGTCCAGCTTTCACATGCATATGAGGTTATTGAAAATACCATGGCTTGGGTCAGGCGCACCTTAGTCCTCAAGCTGACATGTTTGCTCTTCAATTCTTTAAAAAGATCTTGTGCAGCAGATTTGCCTAATGCAGTATGTTGTTTGATTTCTTGACTGCTTGCTTCCATGAGTGTTGGTAATTAATTCAAGAAGAATGAAGTCCTTGAAAACTTCAATGTTTTCTCCATTGATAAGAACGTTTATTGGTCCAGTGGTGAGGGTTTTTGTTTTCTTTACATTGAGATGCAATCCATACTGAAGGCTGTGGTCTTTGATCTTCATCAGTGAATATTTTAAGTCCTCTTCATTTTCAGCAAGCAAGGTTGTATCATCTGCACATCGCAGGTTGTTAATGAGTCTTCCTCCAATCCTGATGTCACATTTTTCTTCATATAACCCATCTTCTTGGAATATTTGCTCAGCATAGAGATTGAATAAGTATGGTGAAAGAATACAACCCTGTTATACACCTTTCTTAATTTTACACCATTCAGGGTTCCCATGTTCTGTTTGAACAACTGCCTCTTGGTCCCTTTTGTTGTTGTTGTTGAGTGCCATTGAGTCGATTCCAACCCATAGCAACCCTGTATATGCTTTCCAAGGAGCAGCTGGTGAACTTGAACCACCGACCTTGCCCTGGGAGGCATTAAAAGTCAATAGGTCAACCTGGAAGGTTTCCACACTTTCTCATGGGTGGAAGGACAGTCCCCATAAGAACCACTTGGCTCTTGTTGATGGTGGCTGGGTGTTGTTTTTTGTTTTTAATGTGCAACTTCAGATTATCATGACCAAAACTAGTTTTCTTTCTCCCAGTTGCAGCGAATGTGTTAGAGAATAACAATTCTAAAACGAACACAGCCTTGGAGCCTGAGTTGCCCTCTACAGGTAGGAGTCCTGATTGCTGACACTGGAGATTCTTGCAGTTTAGAGAAGAGGACAGACAGGCGGTCACAGGGCAGAAGAAAGGGCTTTTCTGTGTTCTCTCTGCCCAGAGCACAGATGGGAATGCACCTGAACTGACAAAACTGGGGAGGCGAAGGCACCAGTTAGACTGCAGAAGGAACTTCCTAACATGGAAGATCATATTCTCTGATCTGAGTTTGGTTGGAATGTGTTCTCTCCATTTCACCCTGAGATGGAAGGGACTAGGGAAGAACAGGGAGAGGGATTTGAAGGACTCAGAGTTTATAGAAGGCTGTGGAACTATGAAATTCACCGTTCTTGAAGATTTCAGATGACAGAAACCTGGCAGGAGGTGGGGGGAATGTAGGGGATAGAGGAAGGGACAGTTATCTTGACCATCTCCTTCACTTCTTCACAAATGACAGCTCTCCCAGGAATTCATACATCCCTAATCAACTTAGCTCTAGGTTGTTCAGGTACAGTTTGAGTCTAAGCTTTATCCCTTCCGCCATACCTATAACTCAGCAATGCTTTCTGTCATTGGAAGATTATTTCTGTTTGTTCCTTCTGATGGCTCTTTTCTTCTTCCTCAAAGACAGCAAAACAACTAAACAACCAACACCAAATCCTGGGAGCTCAAATGTACACAGTCCTCTACCATTTAAGCCCTCTACTATAACCACCACCACCACCACCATTTGGAAAGAAATGCATCCAGAATTGCTCCAGCCCAGAAACAGGAAGTCCTTTGCTGGAGTTTCTCAACTCCGAGCCAACTTTGAGAACATTGTGGGTGCTGGAACCACAAGAAGGGAAGAGTTCAAGGGAGCCCTAAGTGAGTGGCTGAGAGCAGTCAAGGGTATCCTTGCTTTGGGTGGAGTCGGGCAAGGAAATGGGGCCTGTGGGAGAGGCACAGGTTACTAAGAGCTGCAGTATGGGAAGGAGGAGGTTGCGTTGCGATGCAGTGGGGAGGGTTGGTTATGGGGGTGGTAGAAGGGAAGGGGGGAGGAAGAAGAGTGAACAGATGGATAAAGGGAGAGGAAGAGGCAAATGTCTCCATCCCCTTCATTCCTTCCTAACTCACGTCTCCTCCGGGAAATCACACACCCCTGACCAACTTACCTCTACCTTGTTCAGGTACACTTTGAGTCTAACCTTTATCTCTTCTGCTGAATGTACAACTCAACAATGTTTTTTTTCTTGATGGAGGATTATTTCTGCCTGCTTTCCTACTGACCTCTTTTTTTTCCTTTTCTCTCTCAAAGGCAACAGAACTAAAAAGCCAGTATCAAATCCAGGCTCCTCAACTGCATCCAAGCCCTCTGCTTGGAGAGTAATACCTCCAGAATTGCTCCAGCCCCGAAACAGGACATCTTTTGCTGGAAATCTTCAACTGCCAGGCAATGTTAAGAACCTAGAGAATACTGGAGCCACAAGAAGGGAAGAGTTCAAAAGGGCCCCAAGTGAGTGGCTGAGAGCAGTCAAGTGTCCTGCTTTGAGTAGAGTGGGACAAGGAATAAGGCCTGTGGGGAGAGGCCTGTGTTACTAAAATTAGCAATATGGGATGGAGGAAGGTGGGGGCAGAGTGTGTTTGGGGGGAGGGGGGAGGAGCAAATGGGGAAGGGAGGGAAGGGGATAGGATAGAGGGATACAGGGAGAGGAAGGGGCAATATCTTACCCATCTCCTTCACTCCTCCCTAATTTTCTTCAGGAAACCATACACCTTTAACCAACTTACCCCTAGATTGTTCAGGTGCACTTTACACTGAACCTTTATCCCTTCTGCTGTATCTACAACTCAGCAGAACTTTCTGTCAATGGCAGGTAATTTCTGCTTGCTCCTACTGACCTCTCTTTTCTTTTTTCCTCCCTCAAAGGCTGCAGAACTGAACAGCCAACATCAAATTCTGGCTCCTCCACTGTACTCAGTCCTTCTTGCAAGTCCTCTACTTGGAAAGTAATGCCCCCAGATTTGTTCCAGCCCCGAAGCAGTATGCCTTTTGCTGGAAATTCTCAACTGCGTTGAGAACCTTGAGCGTAGTGGAGCCATGGGGAAGGAAGAGCTGAAGGGGGCCCTGAGTGGGTGCCTGAGAGCAGTCAAGGTCCCATCTTTGAGTTGAGTCAGGAAAGCAGCTTCAAAAACTTTCCACTATCTTTCTTTCAATTTTTGCACTAAGTTTTTGAAGTCCCCCTCATATTCATCCAGGTGTGGAGGACCACAGATGAGTAAAGTGACCTGCATCACATCCACCGAACCCATCCCATGAACCTGACTATTGTCCTCTGCTCACATTTCCATATACTCTAGCTTTACCAATCCCCCAAGCCCAGCAAGGAAAATGAATTTTATTGTATTTAAGTTTATTGTACTTTGCAGGTAATGAGTTTTTAAAAAGAAAGAAAGAAAGTTTGCAGCAATCTTGCATTGAGCAAGTCATTTGGAGCCATTGCCCAATAGTAGGTGTTGTTGTTGTTGTTAGGTGCCATTGAGTTGGTACCAACTCATAGTGACCCTATGTAAAACAGAACGAAACACTGCCTCATCCTGGGCCAACCTCACAATTGTTGCCACACTTGAGCCCATCGATGCTGCCATATTGCCAGTCCATCTCAATGGGGGGTCTTCCTCTTTTTCTCTGACCTAACACGTTACCAAACATGATATCCTTCTTCAGTGACTGGTCCCTACTGACAATATGTCCGAAGTATGAGAAACGAAATTTGGCCATCTTGGGCTCCAAGGAGCACTCTGGCTGCACTTCTTCCAACACAGATCTATTCTTTTGGCAGCCCATGGCACTTTCAATTTTCTCCTCCAACACCATAACTCAAAAGCATCAATTCTGCTACGGTCTTCCTTATTCAATGTCCAGCTTTTGCATGCATATGAGGTTATTGAAAATAAAATGGCTTGGGTCAAAAAATTTGATTTTTCATCTGATTTTTTGATTGCTGCTTCCATGAGAGTTGATAATTGAAGCAAGAAGAATGAAGTCCTTGACAACTTCAATTTTTTCTCCATTGATAAAAATGTTGTTTCTTGGTCCAGTGGTGAGGGTTTTTGTTTTCTTTACATTGAGATGCAATCCTTACCAAAGGCTGTGGTCTTTTATCTTCATCAGTAAGTATTTTAAGCCCTCTTCACTTTCAGTAAGCAAGGTTGTATCATCTGCATATCTCAGGTTGTTAATGAGTCTTCCTCCAATCCTGATGCCACGTTTTACTTCATATAACCCAGCTTTTCGGATTATTTGCTCAGCAAACAGGTTGAATACATATGGTGAAAGAATACAATTCTGTCGCACACCTTTCTTAATTTTAAAACAATCAGCATTCCCACGTTCTGTTCGAACAAGTGCCTCTTGGTCCATGTACAGATTGCTCATGAGTGCAATTAAGTATTCCAGAATACTCAAACTTCTCAATGTTGTCTATAGCTTGTCATGATCCACAAAATTGCATAGTCAATAAAGCACAAGTAAACATCTTGTATTCTCTGCTTTCAGCCAAGATCCATTGGACATCAGCAACGATATCCCTCATTCTACTTCCTCTTGTAATTCTAGCTTGAACCTCTGGAAGTTCTCTGTCACTGTATGTTTGCAGCCATTTCTGTATTACCTTTAGTAAAACTTTACTCACCTGGGATATCAAAGCTTTTGTCGGATGATTTCCGCATTCTGTTGGGTCACCTCTCTTTGGAATGGCCACAAATATGGTTCTCTTCCAATCAGTTGGCCAGATAGTTGTCTTCAAAATTTCTTGGCATAGATGAGTGAGTGCCTCCAATGCCACCTCACTTTCTTGAAAGATTTCAATTTTTATTCTATCAATTCCTGGATCCTTGTTCTTTGCCAATTCCTTCAATGCACCTTGGACTTCCTTCAGAATCATTGCCTCTTGATCATATGCTACCTCTTGAAAAGGTTGAACATCAACCATTTCCTTTTGGTACAGTGACTCTGTGTATTCCTTCCATCTTCTCTTGATGCTAGGTACATAGTACTATCTCTATGTGACATTTTGGTAATTCCACAATATTTCAGACTTTTTCTTAAAGCTATTGCACACTTAATAGACTACTGTTTAATGTTAACATAACTTTTATATACATTGTTGTTGTTAAGTGCCATTGAGTCGATTCTGACCCATACTGACCCTTTATAGGGTTTCCAAGGAGCAGCTGGTGACCTTGAACTACTGACCTTGCAGTTCAAATGACTTTGCAGTCTGAAGCATTAGCCCACAGCGCCACACCAGGACTCCTTGCATTGGGAAGCTGTAAATTTCATGTGACTCATTTTATTGCTCTACTAGTTTTATTCACCTTATTGCAAATATCTCCTAGGTATGCTTGTATTACAGTAAGAGGGTTTAGGAGTCACTGAGTGGTACAAATGATTACTATGCTTGGCTGCTAACTGCACATATGGAGGTTTGAATCCACCTAGAGATGCCTCAGAAGAAAACCCTAAAGATGATAATTCTATTCTTGACATTTATGGTGTTGCCATGAAGGAAACCAAGTCAACTAGTATATATGAGAGTCTGAGACTGGGTAATAAATCAGAAAAGATGACCCTATTCCCAAGTATTTTAGCAGAGACTGGATTTGCCACAACCCAAGCCATTGTATGGGTAGATAAAGATCCTTTTAACTATGATGATAAACTATGCTCAAGGTCTGAATTCCAGTAAAAGTTAATGTGTGAGGGAAGGCGGGCTGACTAGTCCTCTTCTCTTACAATCCCTCACTCAAGCTTCTCTTTGAGGGGCCCTACTTAGAAAATGACTGGAGCTCAAAAAGTTTGAGCTCTGGTAGTGTAGTGGTTATGAATTTGGCTTCGAACTGCAAGGTCACCAGTTCGAAATTATCAGCTGTTCCGCAGAAGAAAGAGGAGGCATTCTGCTCTCGTAAAGATTTACAGCCTCGGAAACCCTGTACAGGGTCGCTATGAGTCAGAACCGACTCCACGTTATACAGCCATGACAGAGTAGAACGTCTCCCATTGTTGTTGTTTTTAAGTGCCATTGAGTTGGTTCTGACCCATTAGCGACCTTGTATAGGGTTTCTGAGGAGCAGCTGGTGAACTTGAACTGCCAACCTTGCGGTTCAAACTGACTTTGCAACCCAGCGCATTAACCCACAGCGCATAGGGTTTCTTTCATCTTTTTAGGAGTAGATAGATCTCTAGCCTTTTTCTCCAGATTAGCAGCTGGTGAGTGACTATTATGCCACCAGGGAGGGTTCTTTCAGCGTTTCTCTTATACTCGCTCCAAATCCCATTTTAGATAGGGAATCAGAGATCACAGGAAATAAGAAGACCATGGTCTTAGCCTTAAATCCTGAAATGATCCACACCAGTAGGTAGTGCTCCTCTGCACCTACAGGGTAGCCCATTGGGGAAATTTAGGGATTGATTTCAGAAGAAGAGGGGCTTAGGACTTCTTTGGGGACAATGAGGGAAAGCCTCTCTTTGGCAGCATCTTGAAGATACTCAGAGGTGGGAGACTGGACACCTTGATCCAAGGTTGACCCTCTTTTTCTTCCATCTCCCACAGCCCGCGTGACCCTGGACGCAACCTCAGCCCACCCGGACCTCATTCTTTCCCAGGATCTGAAGACAGTGAAGCTGGACATCGGCCCTCTCAGTAACTCAGAGGAGCCAGCAGACCCCAGGTGCTTCTACCCATTCCGCTGCGTGGTGGGCTTGCCTGGCCTCTCCTCTGGCCAACAGACCTGGGAGGCGGAGCTGCAAGGGCCTGGGGGAGGGGCCTGCGAGGTAGGCGTGATCTCAGAGTACGCAGCACGCCAGGGTTACCTGCAGATAGAGCCCTTGGCTGGCTTCTGGGCACTGCGCATTAAGGACACCCAGTGCCAGGTTCTCACTCAGGCCGACACTGCGGAGGAGCTTCCCATTTGTCCGCGTAAAGTGAGAGTCCACGTGGATCATGATCGCGGGGAGGTCGTTTTCTACGACGCCATCACTAGCAAACACATCTATACCTTCCGGGCCTCCTTCCAGGGGTGGATCTTCCCCTTTTTCAGACTCCTATATTCTGGCACTCAGATCACTCTGAGCCCCTAGAATTCTTCCAAGTCCTCGCTTGCCTTCTTCTCTTTCTCGGCACCCTCTCACTTTGGGATGTGCTGCAGCTGGTAGAGTTAGCGCTAAACTGCCTAGAACCCTTTAGGTTTGCGCCTGCTTTAAGTTTTCTTTTTGTCTCAACACCTCCCCACGCCCCATATGCCTGGGTAGAAAAGAAAACTTCAAATACACGGACAGACTGTACGAAGGCTATTCATTGCATCACTGCAACTGGACTGGAACTGAAATGTCTGCCGTTAGGCGATGGTCAAAATATGGGATGAGAAAGCAACATGCTGCATCCAATTTAGACACAGATGCAGAGGGCTGGATCACTGACTTGAGGCTGCCCCTCTCTGCTCCTGCACCTCATTCCCTGTAGTACCTGTAACCCTGGACACGACCTCAGCCCAAAGCCTCATCCTTTCTGAATATCTGGAGACAGAGACACTGGACTTGTCTTATTGGACAACTTAGCCAGGTCTGCCCACATAGCTTTCTGTCTGTTTGGTGGTATTATGCAAACTATGAAAAGGAATGAGGAACACCTATATAGACTACTATGGAATTATTTCCAGGGTATATTTTCAAGTGAAAAAACAAGGTGGGGTGGGATAGTGCATGTATATATTGCTTGTTTATATTTATTTTTGTAACTGGAGGGATGACCCTAAAACTAATAAAACCTGTAGGAGAAAGGGGAAAATCTGATGAAAGTGATTATTTTCTCTGAATGTGTGTAGTTTTGTATATTTGGCTTCAGAACTATGTAAATGTTTTACATTATTATAAAGCAAAACTGAAATGAGACTTTAACCTAGTTCTGCATATATTTGGTAGCTTAACCATTCAAAGAGATGTTATTTTAAGTAACTTTAAAACATAGTAATTTGTAAATCCTTAGTGGGATATATGGAGTCTTGGTGTGGCGCTGTGGGTTAATGCACTGAACTGCAAAGTCGCTTTGAACTGCAAGGTCAGTGGTTCAAGCTCACCAGCTGCTCCTCGGAAACCCTATATAGGGTCGCTGTGGGTTGGAACCAACTCGACGGCACTTCAAAATAATAAACAAGAGTGGAATATATACTAATGACAAAAAAGTTCTTAATAAACTTTAAATCATATTAGTAACAAAAATACGGTATTAGTATTGTGATTCTGAATCTATTATTTAAGTATGTACATGGTGGGTCCATATCTTAAGCACTGGATTGTTAACCACAGGGTCTGCAGTTCAAGCCTGCCAACTGCACCGTGGGAGAAAGATGAGGCTTTCTGTTCCCTGAAAGATTTAAAGCCTTGGAAACCCCATAAAGGGTCTATATGAGTGAGAACTGACTCCGTGGCACTTAACAACAACAATGTATGTGTATATATATATAAAAGGGCCTTCAAAAAGTTCAGGAAAAATGAAATTAAAAGAATTTTCCCACTAACTTGATAAATGGTTGTTGTTGTTGGGTGCCATCAAGTTGTTTCTGACTCATAGCAACCCTATGAACAAAAGGATAGAACACTGCCAGTCCTGTACCATCTTCACAATTGTTGTTTGAGCCCATTGTTACTGCCATGGTGCCAATTCATCAAGTTGGGGGTCTTCCCCTTTTCTCTGACCCTCCATGCTTCCGAGTTGATGAATCTCCAGGGGACTAATTCCTTCTGATAACATGTCCACAGTAGGAAAGATGAAGTCTTGTCATCCGATCTTCTTAGGAGCATTCTGACTACTTCTTCAAGCAGATTTGTTTGTTCATCTGACAGTCCATGGTACTTGCAATATTCTTTGCCAACTCAATAATTAAAATGTACTGAGTTTTCTAGGTTTATTCATTGTTTGAATTTCACATGCATCTGATGCAATTGGAAATATCACAACTTGGGTCAGGTGTACCTTAGTCCTCAAACTGACATCTTTGCTTTTTAATACTTTAAAGAGGTCTGCTGGAGATTTGTCTAATGTAATATGTTGTTTGATTTCTTGACTGCTGCTTCCATGAACACTGGTTGTGAATCCAAACAAGTTAAAATCTTCTACACTATAAAAAAATTTCCATTTATTATGATGTTATTTATTGGTCCAGTTGTAAGGACAAAGATTCAGGGGGCTGGTCCACTGATCTGGGGTTGTCCCTTTCTCCTTGTCTACTTCATTTCCTGAGGTGCAATCTATACTGCAGGCTGCAGTCTTTAATCTTCATCAGTAAGTATTTTAAGTCCTCCTTGCTACCAGCAAGCAAGGTTGTATCATCTGTACATTGCAGATTGTTAATGAGTCTTCCTCCAATCCTCATGCCATGTTCTTCATATAATCCATCTTCTTTGGTTATGTACTCAGCATACAGTTTGAATAATTATGGTGAAAGAATACAATCCCGGCACACATGTTTCCTGATATCAAACCATTCAGCATTCCCTTGCCTTGTTCAAATGACTGCCTCTTGATCTATGTACATGTTCCCATGAACACAATTAAGTGTTCTGGAATACCTGTTCTTCTCAGTGTTATGCATAATTTGTTATCATCCACACAGCTGAATGCCTTTGCATAGCCATGAGTAAACATCTTTCTCGTATTCTCTGCTTTTAGCCAAGATTCATCTGATGTCAGTAATAATATCCCTTGTTCCATGTACTTTCTGAATTTGACTTGAATTCATGGCATGTCCTTGTCAATGTACTGCTGCAATTGTTTTTGAATTATTTTCAGCAAAATTTTACTTGCATGTGATATTAATGATATTGGTGTATGATTTCTGCATTCCGTTTGGTAGTCATTTTTTAGAATGGGTACAAATATGGATTTCTCCCAGTTGCTTGGTCAGGAAGCTGTCATCCAAATTTCTTGACTGAGACGAGTGAGCACCTCCAGTGCTGCATCAGTTTGCTGAAATATTACAGTATGTATTTTGTCAATTCCTGGAGTCTTGCTTTTCTCCAATGTTTTCAGTACTGCGTGAAATTTTTCCTTCAATATCACTGGTTCATCATTATATGGTACCTCTTGAAATGATTGAACATCGACTAATTCCTTTTGGTACAGTGACTCTGTGTATTTCTTCCATCTTATTTTGATGTCCCAGCGTCATTCAATATTTTGTGTATTGAATCCTTCAATATTTCAAGTTAAGGCTTGCGTTTTTCTCTTCAGCTCTTTCAGCTTGAGAAATGCTGAGTGTCTTCTTTCCTTTTATTTTTCTAACTCCAGGTGTTTGCACATTTCAGTATACTATTTAACTTTGTCTTCTTGAATTGCTCTTTGAAACTTTCTGATCAGCTCTTTTACTTCCTCATTTCTTCCAGTCACTTTAGCTTCTCTGTACTCCAGAGCAAGTATCAGAGTCTCTTCTAACATTCCCTTTGAGCTTTTCTTTCTCTCCTGTCTTTTTAATCACCTTTTGCTTTCTTCATGTATAATGTTCTTGATGTCATCCCACAGTTTTCTGGTGTTTGGTCATTAGTGTCTAATGCATCAAACTTGTTCTTCAGATGGTCCCTAAATTCAGGTGGGATTTACTCAAGGTCTTACTTTGACTCTTATAGAAGTGTTTTACTTTTCTTCAGCATCAGTCTGAACTTGCATATGAGTAATTGATTGTCTGTTCCACCATTGTCCCCTGGCCTTAACTGATGGTAGTGAGCTTCTCCATGATCTCTTCACACAGATGTACTCAAATTGACTCCTGTGTATTCCATCTTGTGAGGCCCAGAGTATGTTGCTGAAAAAAGATATTTGAAATGAACTAACTCACAGGTCTTGCAAAAGTCTTTTATGTGACCTCCAGCATCCTTTCCAAATTTTGCATCCCAATCACCAGTGATTATCACCATATCTTGATTGCATGTTTGATCCATTTCAGACTGGGGAATTTGGTAGATTTCTTCATTTTCATCATCACTGACTTGCGGTTGGTGCGTGAATGTGAACAATTGTGATGTTAACTGGTCTTCCTTGTAGGCATATGGATATTATCCTATCACAGACAGCATTGTACTTCAAGATAGAACTTGAAATCTTCTTTTTGATGCTGAATTCATGTCATTCCTCTTCAATTAGTCATTCCTGACATAATAGACCAAATAATGATCATATCCAAAATGGCCAATACCAGTCCATTTCAGCTACTAATGAATAGAATATTGATCTTTATGGATTACATTTCATTGTTGACATGCAAATTGCTTTTTTTGTTTGTTTTTCACATAAGATCTTTATTGGGAATTTAATATTTTCAGTTACCAAATGTTAGTTTGTAAGAAAGTATACACTATGCAGAGTTCTAGAACTAATACAAGCTCATAAGCAAAATTGTCCAAAACATAAAAACAAAGCCGATCTCTATAGATAAAAAGGTCAAGGATGAAGGAAGCGTTAAGTAGAACTATGTGCCATTAACCAAAGCAGCCAAAGAAAATAGTATTACTAATCGCAAATAACAATCTTCTACGCATAACAGCCTGTTTAAATAATACAAATTTTATTTATTTATTTTAATATCAGGAAAATAGAACACTGAAACATCCATAGTATTTCCAAAAGATTACCCATGATCACCTTTTAGTCCAGTCAGTCTTGTGTAATAATTTTTGTTCCACGTGATTCTGGATCAGCAGCCATCTGTAAACTCATCAGCTTCTACAAACAAATTCTAGAGATCTTGATTCAGTCTAGTGGCATCCACATTCAAACTACCATAATCCTTTTCATAAGTCTGATGCAGTGTGATTTTTGTTGACGCACTCTGCTCAATGACTTTCAGGAAATCAGCTAAGTAAAAAGAATCTGTAGATGACAAAGCTGGAAAGTGGCCATGGTTAACTTATTACTAATAATAACTGGTAAAAGTAAAAAGACCTAGTGGGAATTAATTATAAAAGTAATGCAAAATCAAATAGGGTAAATCCCTAAAACATCAGATTTCTAAACATAAGTACTTCTAAACATAATGACTAACTTTATTTTGAAAGAACTTCAGATATAACATAATAATCTTTAGACATAA